TCGCAAACACAGCAAATGGAGGCTAGTAACTCGATATCCAGCCAGGACCCCAACCGCGAGGAGCACAAGAAGACGAAGAGCAGACGACCCCCGAGTAAGCCTGGACGCCGCTGCGCGCGCACAGAGGCGATACTGATGGATGTGCAGACACGGCATTTAGACAGCAGCGATTGAAGGCGTGGCAGTACGTGTGCCATGGAGGTGGAGGGTCCAGAACAGCGACACTGACTGCGCGACAACAGGCCCATCTTGACCCCGAAGACCGTCCTTCCTCTGTTCTTCGTTGTTGGCATCATATTCGCACCCATCGGCGGGCTGCTGCTATATGCGAGCTCACTGGTAAGATCTAGAGCTCCGCGTGTGCTTGCAGGCATCTGACAGCGGCGCCAGGTCCAGGAATTATCGATCGACTACACCAAATGCATCATCGATGCCCCTAATACAACCGCCATCTTTGATTCTTCGGCCGCAAGCACGCTGGAAGACATTCCCTCGGGCGATGTATCTGCCACGTTCAAGTCGTCGATGAAGTCGGTACCACAGTGGGGACGGGCAACAGAGAACTACACTTGGCCGTCTGGCAAGGTCCAGAACACCAACGTATGCATTCTCAGCTTCGAAATCCCCAACGATGTCCAGCCGCCGATCCTCTTTTACTACCGCCTGACCAACTTCTACCAAAACCACCGACGTTACGTAAAGAGTGTGGACATTGAGCAGTTGAAGGGAGAAGCACGTACCGTGAGCGAGATCGACTCAGGCGACTGCGGACCTCTTGACTCAGTCGGCGGCAAGCCGTACTATCCATGCGGTCTCATCGCCAATTCCATGTTCAACGACACTTTTACGAACCTGAACGCAACGAACCCTTCTCAGAACGAGAACAGTCCTAGCGTGTACAACATGACGTCGGGTGGCATCTCTTGGGCTCATGAGGGCGATCTGTACGGCAAGACAAAGTACAAGCCATCGGAGGTTGTCCCTCCACCGAACTGGCAGGAACAGTACGTTGACGGAAGCTACGAGTCTTTGACGGAGCTTCCGAATCTTCACACCTGGGAGGAGTTCCAGGTCTGGATGAGGACGGCCGGTCTGCCCACTTTCAGCAAGCTCGCTTTGCGCAATGACAACGATGTCTTGCGAGCAGGCACCTACCGGCTGAAGATTTACGACCGTAAGTCAACCCGTAACGCGCGTCACTCTGTCGTTCATTCGCTCACATGTCTCTAGGCTTTCCGGTCATGGCATACAGTGGCACTAAGTCCATCTTGATCTCCACGCGCACCGTTATGGGTGGCAAGAACCCGTTCTTGGGCATCGCGTACCTCGTGGTCGGTGGTCTTTGCATCTTGCTCGGTGCCGTGTTCCTTGCCACGCATCTCATCAAGCCGAGGTCAGTCATTCGGCGCATGAATGCAAACAGTTCTAGATTGCTGACATCCAACCAGAAAACTCGGCGACCACACTTACCTGACCTGGAACAACGATCAGCCTAGTACGGCGACAACTACCGGGCGGGCCGGTGGAGCATAGTAACAGGTATCGCCACAACGGCTTTGTTGTCAGGATACTAGCTTCCCCTTCTCTTCTTTTGCGATTATACCGACTCATGAATAAAGTTTGGGTCCTGAGTATTGTATGGATATCATAGGCCAAGATGGCCTGGAGTTCTGGTGTTTGAGCGAGAGACTGGAACATAGTCTTTTCTGTTTGGTCAATGCATGTCATACTCGACTGATTTCTCCATCGTTTTGGCGCTCGACTAATCCAATAGTCCAGAAAATAAGCTTCATGTCAACACTGTCAGGCAGCGTGGTACCGAGACAAGTCTCATGATGAAGCCGCATTCATGCTCCTGACAGGGGCCAGGCAAGAATCCAGACGGCTGTCAAAATAAACCGAGATGGACATTCTGGAACACAGGAATCCAGAACATATACAAGATCTTCAGGACGAAGAATAAAAGCCTCGTGGCTATCCTCCAAACACAATCACTACAGCAGTTCTGCAACTTACCTTCAGCACATTCATTCTCCTCGGCAGGCAATTGTCCCACAAGTTACTTGAGCAACTTCCCACATTCCGTGCGACCTTCGGCTTTCGAACGCTAAAATGCGTACTCCCTTCCTCCTTGCCTCGCTAGGCCTCCTAGCATCAGCTGCAGACCCTAAACCCTCTGGTGCACCAGCTAAACCTTTCGACTGCGGCACAGGCACCGAGACTGCAGACAAATCTTACCTGGACACCATCCAGCAGCTTCACGATGGCAAGGCAAAAGGCAGTCTCGCAGCTCGCGCCGCCGAGCTCGCAGTCCGTGATGATCCTATCAAGGTTCAGGCCGTCTTCCACATTGTCATGACCGATGCCGCCAAAAACTCAATCACCAATGCCATGCCACAAGCTCAATTGGACTCTCTCAACGACTCATACAATCCCTACAACATCCAGTTCGAGCTGCAGAACACGACCTGGACTACGAATGACGTGTGGGCCAAAGCCAGCAAGACAGGCGACGACGACAACAACATGAAAAAGGCTCTTCGTCAGGGTACCTACGATACGCTCAACATCTACTTCCAGACCGACCTCTCCGGAGTCCTTGGTCGCTGCACTCTACCCTCTGCCATCGCAAATGGCAAAGGCGACCCAAGCGTCTACTTCAATGACGGGTGCAACGTCAACGCCAACACGATGCCCGACGGTCTGATGACCGGCTTCAACAAGGGCAAGACAGCTGTGCACGAGACCGGGCACTGGATGGGTCTGCTGCACACCTTCGAGGGCTACTCGTGTGATGGCCCCGGTGACTACATCGACGACACGCCCGTTGAGAGCGTTGCGACTGATGGCTGCCCTACCAATCCCAAGAAGCAGAGTTGCCCTGCTCAGCAGAAGCCTGGCGAGAGTGATCCGATCCACAACTACATGGATTACTCCATCGATGACTGCTATGAGGGCTTCACCGACTTGCAGGTTGCGCGGATGAAGAACATGTGGGGTATGTTCCGCAACGGCAACTAGCCAGCCAAAGAGAGGCCCCGAACAGAAGCAGTGCTACCTGCTGAAAGGTTTGGGGCGAAGGTGCGACGATGGTGGTGGTGCGGTGCGGGTTTGCTGAGTTTGTTTGTGTATATTTTGCTACTTCTGCGCGGTTAGACTGGATTTGCACATATTGGCTTCTCGCGTTGCTCATTGGCGTTTTATGGGTCTGCTGAAACTGCTAGTCGTTCATAAACATAATGCATTCGTTTGACATCCAGATCCTCTGCATTGCAAGGCCTACCCACAAAGCTTCGGACCTTCGCGTTGACGTGGGGCCCTTGACATTCCTGCAGCATTGCCATGTCGTCAAGGCCACTCTTGTGTAACGCTTTCTAGCTTCTTTCCTTCGGTTAGCATTCCGGACCCTTTGCAGCTGCCTCGTGCCTTCGGCACTAGCATCAATCCCTCCCGCACCGTGACCTGGTCAACGGCGTCCGCTTTGGACGACTCGCAGTAGCGCTCCGAGGAGATGACGAGGCCAGGGTCCGCCAGTGGGTCTTCAGTCTAGGCTGAAAAGTCCAGCCTTTGTCTAGCCCTACAGCCTGAGACATCTTGTGGAACAACAGCCTCGCCCTTCGTAAGGAAAGACACCGATCCGCCTTGCGAAAGCCCAGCTCTTAGCCACCACGATCTTGACATCAGCTGATACACTCAAGGCCTTCAAGATCCCGCATGCTGACGTGTATCTGGCGATGCATGGAGAACAATGCGAGGCAGCCTGCACGCAGTTCTTTGTTCCAAATGCGGAAAGTCCCCTCATGCATGTGAACGCAAGCAACACCATACTGGTAGAAGGCACAATAGAAAAGTGGGGTATTTGGCAACACAGAGAAAACAGCAGGTGCTCTGCAAATTTTGCAAGTGTCGTAGCTCGCGCTCTCCTACCGCGACGGCGACAATCCAGTCCTTTCACTTCACTTAGAGTTCCACCGCACCGGCACTCAATCCGCCGAATCAATTGAAGAACCGTAGTCTTACACCCTACCATCTCCTCTGCAAGTCATACATACCAACAAAGAGACAACCCGCTTCCACCAGCGCCCCAACCGCCCTTTAGCCACCGCCGAGCTCAGCCCCGCAGATCAACAAAGAACCGCCTCGCATATCAAACGACCAGTATCCAAATGCGACCCTTCCGCGCTTCGAGATTCCCGAACACCATCAAGCCCCCCTCCGCCCTGCGCTACGTCCTCATCCTGCTGAAAGCGCGTCCAACACCACAGGACATAGCGTGTCTGTGCAACTACACGTCCAGGAACAGCGTTGCGCCGCCTCCTTACACACCCTGATCTTCACACTTTGAGCTCGACGCCGAGATGTCGAACACGACTTCGCCCGGTTTGGTTACGGAGGACATGCACTGGGCCTTCACGACGCTATCTCATTTCGACACATGGTGTGGAGCAACATGCCACATGGTGCTGCGCTACGTACTGCGTTGCCTCCTCGTTTTGGCACTCACTGGTACGTTCGTCGCGATTTTTGTGCGCAGCATCGATTCCAAACGCCGCGCCGAACTGAAGAGAAGAATTGGTGCGGATAGCGCGAGTAGCCTGTTTGAGAAGGGAGAGCCGGACTCGGTCGTCGCGACATTCGGAGATACGGATTTGAACGTCCAACGTGGAAGAGGTGCCACAGTGCTAAGTGTCGGTCCAGATGTGAAGGATTCGTGCGCTGTAATGTAGCGTGTGGGCGTTGGAGACATCTCATACCATATCACTGTTCATCCTCGAAGCCTCTGCTATGTGTCAATGCTTGAGCAGGCTGTACCTCATTCAGGGTGTGTGCAGTTCTTTGCAATACGGAACTTGTTGTTCGTGATATGTGAGTGAAGACAAGACAAAACAAAAGAGGCAGCTCATCGCTCGATGAAGGCGGCGAGAAAAAAAAAACTCCCCCAGACAGGTTCCAAAGCTCAACGTTTTGATGTCAGTGAAAACAACGGTCGAAAAAGAATCACTCCCTGGGGAAGGATCGAACTTACAGTCCCCCGATGTGCCGTTGAGCGGTAACGGTCGGACGCGGTGACCATCGCGCCACGGGGGGTCTTTGCATCTAGTGATTAGATGAAGGAAGGAAAACCAACGGCTTCGCATTCTAGGATAGGAAAGTGAAACAGGTAGACATAAATCAAACAATAGTAAGTGAGGTGAATAAAGTTGAAGTATTTACAGAGAAAAAGTCTAATCTTTTAAGCCATCATAACACAACCCACCACCACACTCTACAAGTGATACACTAACCTCAAGACACCGACATGAACAGACCAAGCGGCGGCACGGTCGTCTGAAAGAAGTCCATGGCAAGGCCTCCAGTAGACTGCATCTGATACGCAACAGTTTGTCCCGCTGCGCAAGGAAGACTTTGAAAATTGTACTGATTCGCTGGCTGGACAGAAGGTACCCATCCAACGACATCGGAGCCGACGACATTGCTTGCACTGATGTTTGCCGACGTAATTTGTTGCCCCACGCTGGACACGATGATACCACCAGGCGATCGGATCTTGACAGGCGACATGTCTGGCCAAGGGAAGGCCGGGGGCATGTGGAAAGCAAGGTTGCAGGTCTTGCCTTGATTCTCGGGACGGACGTCGAAGACGAAGACAGTAGACAAAGTTGGCGATAGCTGGGCGACGTAGCCAATACCAATGACCTTGGCCGGATCGGATTTGTCGACAGGCACGATCAAGTTGGGCGCTTCAAAGGATCCCTGAAGACCAACAGGAGGAGCACTAGCTGTGGGAAGCGATTCAATAGCCAAACGAGACTGGGATGTTGCTGCTGTTGGTGCAAGTTCAGTCGGTGCTGGAGTATTTGATGTAATCACAGGTGGAGTAGCGATGGCTGACTGAGCTGTTGTAGATGAAGCTCTTACTATTGAAAGTCAGCGTGGGTTCAAGCAGTTGTGTCGATAACGAGGTTACGCGTCGGCCAAGTAAACCCTCCCAAGCTGCGCCTGGTACTGCTACTTGCTGCGTCCGCGCTGCTGCTGCTGAGTATCGTAGGCAATGACAAGGTGTTCTTCTCGAATCCATTAGCCCGTGCAATCCAACCTGAGGGCTTCGCAGCCCAGGTTGAGGAATGTACGGGCGGATGCTTCGGGTGACATTTGCAACATGACTTGGCCGCAGGCAGGAAATAGGATAGCACAAAAGCGACGAGGGAAAGGTGGGCAATAAGCGCAAAGAGCAGAGGTGATAAGAACGACAAAATGAGAAGAGTAGGAGAATAGCTTACGTTCTTAGGGCAAGACAGGTCGAACAAAGGAGAAACCTGAGCGAGATCGCCTCCGGGCTTAATACCGAAAGAAGGGCTGGGGTTACCCCACTGCACATCCTGAAGGGTGTAGTAGTAGAGGTTGACGTTGTCGTTGACAAGCTTGCAAGTAACGTCCTCCCAGTAGATGCGGGCGTTGTCGGCAGAGGGCACGGCCTGACCGTCGGTCTCACCGCTAACGGGCCATCCAGTCTCAGTGACCCAGACGGGCTTGCCCTTGGTAGCAGCAACAGTCTGGTTGTAGGCGTCGAAGAAAAGGTCGCCGCCGTTGCCAATGCTGTTGGCGAAGGAGCCCTGGAAGTAGGGGTAGGCATCCATACTATTAAGATTAGTTGAGTGCCTCTGGTAGCATGTGTAGTGGTATGAAAACTTACCCAATCCAGTCAAGGTTATCAATGACAGCGCTGTTGCTGGCATTGACGTAAACCTGCCATGTGTCGACGTGACCGAGCTTGGTGCCAGACAGGGGAGTGCCAGCAATAGCATCGCGGACCTGCTTGATGTAGCCGACGAGGGTGTCGGGCTCAGCGCCAGGGTTACCTCCAGCACCCTCGGCAGAGATACGGTAAAGATCCTCAGAGCCAACAGAGATACCAACGACCAAGTCAGTGAAGGCGGTGCCGTACTGGGAGATGGCAGCCTTCAGAGCGTTGACCTCATTGTTGAATGATTCCTGGCCAGCGGAGGCCCACAGACCAAGAAGGAGGGTGGTCTTGGTGTTGATAGCAGCCTGAATTGCCTCAATGACGGTGTTCTGGGTTCCGTGCTGGATCATGGTGTAAAGACGAGCGCTTGTCCATCCATCGGTGCCAGGCAGGTTCTTTGCGTCGTTGAACTCATACTCGAAGTCCGCCAGCTTCTTCGCAGCATCGTTGTTAAACTGGGCACCGTAATTAAAGCCCTTAATAGCCGCGTTGGCAGTGGACAGAAGAGCCGCAGAGGCAACGACGGAAGATGTGAAGCGCATTATGATAGTAGGGAATAAGGTCTAAGGACTGATATACAAGGAAGTAGGTACGGAAGAAGGAAACCCAAACGTATAGGAGAGGTTGGTTGATGCAAGCAAGGCGAGAGGTGCGAGGAATGAATTGAGTAAATACTTGATCGGTCCATGACGCTTGATTGACCCATCAGTGGCGGCAGGGATCGTGCACAAGCTAACTGCTTATTAGGAAAGAAGCACTTGCGGATCGGCAGGGCAAGGACTTCCGCATCTCCCGTGCTTTCCTCATGCGGCCAGGCCATGTGGTTGACACGGAAGGGATCCCTAGGTCTCAGAGGGCGACGATGAAAGCTCAGCAAATCCACAGGGTGTAGATGTTTCGAGTTTCATCCTGTTTTCCATGGTGTTGATTGCCTGCAGGCTGCACCAAGATCAAGCACTTGAATACGATGAGCTTCTCTTCTTGCCCCGGCTTGGCTAGTCATCGGCCGTTGTGGAGAAACCGATTCTCAACGGTTCTAGAAGGCAACGTCAGACCTCGTTTAAGCGTCGTGTCTGGCGTGGCCGGTTAAAAATAGCCTCATATTTCCGACCACAAGATTGCCATCTGGCTTCAGATCCATAAACAATTTGTCGTGGTCCTCCAATATGCAGGATGGTGGCTTCGTGCATCCATCAATATTGCACCTTTTGTAAAATAAAGGAGAGCATCGCGCATCTTTCATGGGACGCCTTCGCCAGTCTTGACAAACATCTCCACATAACATCGAGTTCGCCGAAAACTTCGCCCCGGAACAGCCTGAAGGTGGACCGAATGAGATCACTAACTAGCAGCAAGCCTCGCGCGAATCCGGGGTGGGACGCGCGTATTGAACCATATCCAATATGTTGACTGCAAAGTTCCTGCAGTAGTACTGTGTGGTTGCAAGCCACCGTCTTCTGCTTGTGAGGATCCCGAAAGTGAGGCACGTCGCAACACAAAATTGCTCGCCGCCGCTGGTGCCAGGAATGGGTACCCGGAATGATGACGTGGATAGCGCAGTGGTCCGAGAGTCTCAGGAGAAGCGGTTCATGCACCAGCGGGCCGGCGTGGCTGTGTGTGGCACTGACGTGCACCGGCAACGATGCACCGGGGCACTGGAAAGGAGGCAATCGATAATCGGGATGAATGAAGTCTGGATGGATCTGTTGTGCTGTCAGGGTCTGCACAACCGAACACGCCCACAAAGTCTAGCCGCATTGGGATGACTTGAACAATGTGCTCACAAGATGCCAACAGGATTTCTGCCGACTTCAAGGCAGGCTTGGAGCACCCTGAGGGATTCCGATAGTCTCCTACGTCTTCGCTCACGGTCTGTCAATACGATACAGAACCTCCGCAACATTGAACCATGCCTCATACTGCACATCCTCCGGCGTGGTATCATAATGGTAATGACCTCCCTCTCCATGATCCGAGAAACAATGCGTGTGCTCAATTCTCAGATCAAGTCCTGGATCATGGGAATGCAGCACACTCAAACACACCAAAGGAGCCCTCATGTCGTAAAACTTCAGCCACTTCTGCTTCTGCTCATCCGTAATCAACGGAGTAGGTGAGAAGTCAGGCATGACATGTAGCTTTGCCTTCCCTTTCGAGATGGCAAAGACGCCTCCAATGGAGATCGTACGCAGACCGTATGTGTCTTTCAACGCCTTGCGGATGACATCGGTGAAGTTGAGGGGGCCAGTCCGCGAGGATGCTGTGATATGTAGGGCATCACCTGGTAGACCAGCACTGCCAAATAGATTCGCCATCAGCGCGCATTCATGAGAAGACAGCTTCTCACATAGCGCACTGCCATCGTCCTTGATCTTAGCAAAGTGCGTCTTGTTAACGACCTTCCCGCTCTCCCATGCTATGTTTGGCATCAACTCCGAGTTCATCCCAACTACGTGGAACGGCCCTGCTGCTGCACCAAGCAAGGCTCCTTGGCCTTCAGGCATTTCCATCAGCTTTGCAATATCGAGCAAATCGTATCTCTTGGAAAAGTCTGGAGTGGGTGCTAGATTGGGTTGTCCGCCCACGTCGGCGATGTAGGGCGATCCACTCAAGCCGGCGAAAGCGAGGTTGTAGGGTGATTCTCTGAGATTCGGACATCGCTCGATCGATACAGATGTTGTAGTGAAGTTTTGTGCGAGCTCGTTCTTGATGGGATCGACAAGCTCGTGGAGAGGTGGGGGGTTAAGGTCAACTCTTTGAACCGGCAAGTTCGACATGATCTTGAAACCGGCAACGGTTATGTGGGCTGTCCAGAAAGTATTCACAAGTGAAGCTCAGCTCGAGAATATATTTGTTGTGTGTCCTGGGTCCTACAACAAGTGTATTTGTTAGAAGGTGAAGAGCGGGGGTATCCGGTGGTCCTTCCGAGATCCCAGCTCGTCACTACCTAGGTGTCTTTCGACTCGAACGGGGAAGCTGAGATGTACGTGAATCGTTAAATTATAATCTCATTTCGCATCACTCTAAGCTATCATCAAAGTCGGTATTCGTCGTTCTTGCTTTGTTGTATTTAACGGATAATGCTTCCTGCCATCACATACATCCTTCTCACTTGCAATCATCGTGAGTAAAAGTTGAGCCAGGTGTTTCAATCAGTGGACACGTCCCATCTCCTCTTCTCACTGGAGTTCGTCGCAGGCAGCTTGACAATGTCGATTAAGATGTTCGGCCTGTCTGCTTCGACCCTGACTGCTCATCTGTAGCCTCGATCGTATATCTCCTCTTGATCGTATCATAGAGTTGCTTCTCCTTGGGTGACAACTCGAACTTCAAGCTAGAATCT